ACAAAATAATGTTCATTTTAGCAACATCATATGACCCCTTTAAAGGAACATGGCAACTAACCGAAAACTTCAATCACATAAATAACAATTAATTCACAACATTTACCGTATCCTAAAAAAATATTTTTTTACTATTTTCCCGGATCCCCCCAGCCCCCCCTCAATTCGAGCACCAGTTTTGTCTATACTGAAAAGCAAACTAGTTTGTTGCCTCAACATTTCAACTGGATTGTGTAATTTGTTCTAATGCTGTCTCCTGGTGGGGCAGTGGAATGATGCGTGAGGTTGGGAAATTGTGGAGCAACAGCTCAGAGGGTCACAGCAGTGATCCTGAAGAGGATGATGAAGAAGGGATGGCGTTCGGCGAGGCTGAGGAAGACTCTGAAGAGATGATGGACTTGAGTGATCTACCTACAGCTCTGTTTGCCTGCAGCGTGCATGAGGCTGTGTTCGAGGAGGACAGGCAGAGGGTAAGAACTAATATTTTAAAAATCTCTTTCTGTTCACAGTTGCATAGTTAAAAAAGCGCTCACATCTGTTTATACAATAGTTTACCCGAAAATGACCATTTACTTGAAAAGTGTCTCAGTGTTTTTTGCCTATACTTTGAAAGTCATTGTTGTTTTGAACCTCACTGACATTGTACGGGCAAAAACAGTCCGTACAATGGTAGAAAATTCATACATGTTTGGAACAATGTTCATTTTTGAGTTAACTATTCCTTTAAGGGTCTATCTGAGCTTGAGATGAGGCATTGTGGGATGAAAGGCTTTCTCTTCCACACAACACACTCAGTTCCTCAGGCTTTGAGTGATTGCTAGGTCTCTTTATCTTTTTTAGCAAACTCTAGTTTTCCAAAAACGGGCATGTCCAAAGATAATGGAGGTCTTGTGAGCAGTACATTTTAACCTACATTCTGAAGCCAGCACTTTAAGGCCCCGAGGACAACATCTGATGTTCACACTGCGTTGCCTCAGCATTCATGGAATATTTTTGCTGCCTGTTGAAGCTGTAACCTCTTACCTGAGGAGTGGCAGGGACTGAGAAAAGCTTTTACTTCCCCTGTAGTAGAGGAGATAAGCGGAGATCTCTACAGAGAGAGAGAGAGAGAGAAACAGTCACTCAGGTCACTGGCTGAAAATAAAGCATACCTGCTTCCTTCTGAAAACCTCTTGTGCTTCTCTAAAAACATTAAACCCGAATACGTTAATGTTGTGTTGGGAACACAAATGAATATCTTGTTTGTGTACACACTCAGCAGTAGAACTAAAATCTATTTCCTTGTTTTCAGTTTGGTCTCTTCTTTAAGGCATCATATGCATCTTTAATAATTTTTT